GGCGGCGGTTTTACCTCCATTTTGAGACCGGACTCGCCTCTTCCAACTCGAGTTCAATATGGGACCCCACTCCAGTATTTTTGCCTGGAGAATCCCATGGACAAAGGAACCTGTGGGCTACCATCCATGGGATTGCAAAGAGTTGGACATGACTGAGCAACTAATGCTTCGTGATGGGACAGGTGGAGAGAGAGAGATGGCACCTACCTGATCAGGGCCATGCTCTAGGAAGCCTTAAAGGCTTCAGTCTGGGCAGGCAGAGAGGACCCAGTGCTGACCTCTGGTCTGAGTCCTGTTTCAGCAACCTGCTAATTATGTGGCCCTTGGTCATTCATGTGTCTCAGAACAGCTATAAGAAGGGGCTGTTAATCACTGTCTTGCTCCCTTATGGGGCAACTGTCAGCACAATATAAATGTGAGAGGTTATTATCTCCTCCACCTCCAGGCCTAACTATATAGTCACCCATCTTAGATCGTTGTCCCAGGCTTAGAGGAGTTTCCCTTCTTCCTTTTGCTGTTGGAGCGGCTCTCATGCCTCCTTGGTTTCATCCATGATCTCCCATATTTCTAGTATTTTATATTTCCCTCTCTCTCTCCTGAGTGTTTCTTCTCTGTCTCCAAACAATCTCAGATCTTAAAAAATAAAGATCCTTCCTTGGATCCTCCATATCTCCCAAGAACACCATCCATTTTCCTTTTTTTCACCAAACTTCTTAAAAAAAATAGATTACTTTCTCATCTCCTACCCAGTGTTAACTAAGTCCACTCCAATACCCATTTAAGAGTGGGCCTCAAAACCCTCCTACACTGTTGGTGTAGCCAAGATATGGAAGCAACCTAAATGTCCATCAACAGATGAATGGATAAAGAAGATGTGATAGAGATACACAATGGAATATTGTTGTTGTTCAGTTGTTAAGTTGTGTCTGACTTTTTGTGACCCCATGGACTGCAGCACATCAAGCTTCCTTGTTCTTCACTATCTCCTGGAGTTTGCTCAAATTCATGTCCATTCAGTCGGGAATGCTATCTAACCATCTCATCCTCTGCTCTTCTCTTCTCCTTTTGCAGACTTCCATCTTTCCCAGCATCAGGGTCTTTTCCAATGAATAAACTCTTCACACCACGTGGTCAAATTATTCAGCGTCAGCATCAGTCCTTCCAAAGAGTATTTAGGGTTGATTTCCTTTAGGATTGACTGGTTTTATCTCCTTGCAGTCCAAGGGACATACACAATGGAATATTAACCAGCCATTAAAAAAGAATGGAAGGACTTCCCTGGTGGTCCAGTGGCTAAGAAGACTACACTTCCTCTGCAGGGGAATGCATAAGAATCTGAAATACGTATATAACTGAATCACTTTGCTGTATGCTTGAAACATTGTAAATCAGCTCTACTTCAATTAAATTTTTTTTTGTAAAGTAGGATCTGAAAGACTGCAATGCCTACATCTAGGGGCTTCATCCTCTTCTCATCTTGCCTGGTTTAACCTGTCCTGGTGAAATGCTTATGTTCCAGCTTCCTCCACCCACCCTTTCCTTTTCCTTCTCCTCCCTTCTCAGGGTTGGGGGGTCCCTCAGATTCTGCTGAGTTTGGGCTTTTTTCTCACTCAGCACACTCTCCTGGAACACTCGGTTAACCTCATGGATTCAACAGTCCCCTTGCAGATGGAGCACAAATACCTTTAATTCTGCCTTTCCCTCCCTTCATCCAATCCGATGGTTTCCAACTGACCTGTCAAAGCATCACAGACTCCTCAGGCTCAGCTTGTGCAAAGCAGAGGCCCACTTTTCCTCTCTTATAACTGTTCTTTCTCTGTTGTTCCATATATATTTTCTTAATGGTCCCTCTATCATTCAGGTCATTGCCTGGAAAATTCCATGGACAGAGGAGGCTGGCAGGCTACAGTCCATGGGGTCACAATGAGTCTGACTTGACTGAGTGACTGAGCATGAACACCAGAGCCTGATGTTTGACTCCTCCAACTTCTATGTATCATATATTAAAGCAAACACCAAATCCAATTAATTAACCCTTGCAATGTCCCTGAAATCATCCACTGCCCTTTCACTCTTATCACCACTATTGAGAAGGGTTCCTTTTTTTTTTTTAATTGACTATGCTTTTATAAAAGTTTTTGAATTGGTCTTCCAGATACCACTCTTTTTAAATCAAAATGATCTTTATATTCCTGATGGTTCTCTCTCTAAAGACAGATTCAGTCATGCTAAAAAAAAATTCCCACTGTTTGCAGAGTAAAGTCACAATTCTTTCTCTCTCTTTTTAAATTTGCAGTTTTACTAAGGTATAATTGACAAATAAAATTGTAAGATATTCATGGTGTTTTTATAAATGCATACCTTGAAAGGTACAATTCTTTATCATGGCATTTGAAATGCATTACAATCCAGCTCCATCTTAAGTCTCCAAAATTAATCTCACACTGCTCTTCTGCATTCTCTATTAGTAAAATAGAGAATGGATCTACTAAAGGTACAGCTTGAACGTCCTCTTCTCAATGCCCCAACCAGAATTAAGCTGCCTTTTCTTTGTCCTCAGAGGGTACATATTTCAAACTGTTCTTAGAGTCACCATCATCACACTGAATTGTAATGATGCCTCTGTCTCTTCTAATAGATTGTAAGCTCCAGCATACCTCTTGCTGTATAACAAATGACTACCAGATTCAATGACTTAAAACAGCAGATGTTTATTATTTCACAGTTGCTGTGTGTCAGGAATTTGGGAGTGGCTACCTTGCTGTTTTGGCTAAGGGTATTTCATGAAGTTGTAGTCAAGAGGTCAGCCAGGGCTGTGGTCACCTGAAGGCTTGATCAGAGCTGGAAGATTTGCTTCCAAGAGGTCTCATGCAGAAGCTTGGCAAGTTAGCACTGGTTGTTGGCTGAGGTCCTGGTTCCTGTCCATAGGGACTTCTCCAAAAACTGCTTGAGTATCCTCACAACATGGCCGCCCACTACCCCACCCCTTCCCCCCAGAGCAAGTGATCTAGGACAAGAAAGAAAGAAGAAAACCAAAATGCCTTTATGACCATCACTTATTCTGTTTGTTAAAAGCGAGCCACCAAATCCAGCACAGATGCAAGGGGGAGAGGGGAATTAATCACCATCTCTTTTTGAGAGAAATACCAAAGAACCTGAGGGCATATTTTAAAACCACCAACACGGGTTGTTCTATCTTTCTGTGTTCAGTAACTAGCACAGTTGTTTCTGGCACTTGGTAGGTGCTCAGTAGATGTTTCTAGTGGAATAATGCATGAAGGGGGGAGATATTGAAGTCATTGTATCATGAGTAATTAGTGTGGCCCAGGTGAAGAATGATGGAGGTGAGAATTGGTGGGAGAGATTCTGAGGTAAGAATTCATGGGAGTCCATGACTGGTTGCATGAGAAGGGTTGGGAAGAGATCCATTTGGGGTTGAAGGTGGTCTTGAAACTAGGACTTAGAGATGGTTGTGACAGTTGAAGTAGGCATCTAGGACTTCCTTCTTGGGGTTTCAAAGGTAATGACATATAAATCATACAGCTAAACTTAAGCCTCAAGTCTAGTAGTTCAGTTATATTTGGAAAGGTCTGGAGTTGGCAGTCATCAATTTGAGCCGGAAGTCATCCCCTATATATCACGTTTCTCATTTATAAATGTGGAGGTTATAGTACCTGTGTACCAGAACTTTACAACTAAACTCTTGGGAATATTAAAAGGTTGGCAACAACTCATCTTTTGCAAGAAATTTTCACCACCACATCCTCTAGAAATGGTCATCTTTAAACACAGGGAACTATCAGATTGAACCATATGAAATGCTGGTATTCCAGTTTTGACTTATAAAGAAATCAGTTCCATAGGGTTCAACCTAATAGATATATGTCTGCAGTTTGAAGATTTGAAAACCTCTTCACAGATGGAAAATTGAGATGTTCCAGCATTCTGGATCTTTCTATTCCTGAGACTGAGATCCAACTAAAAGAAAGGTCAGTCTTGAAGTTAAATTAGGTTTAGCCCAATACAGGTATTACTTTCTCATTTCCTTAAGTTAGATAAAGGAATTAAAGAACAAAGACTAAATACTGTATTCAAGAAACTTAAGATGGAAAACTTATCTTGGAACTCCAGCTAAGTCCAGATTCAACCCCATTTCCTACACTGTGCCGTTTCTAAGTAATTGTATTTACTTAGAAGTGAAATAGCTGAGGACCTAATAAAAAAGGAACTAGGAATTAAATAGTTCTTTGCTCATTTTTGTATTTTTGTACATCTGGAAAGTGATTAGTTGACTCCTTCATTACTGGTAGGAATAAATCCAATATTTGCCGATATAAATTAATTTATGAAAAATACCTTTTGTCCTTTCCAGGAGTACTTCGAAACCTAAATACTGAATAGAAACTTTCAATGTGAAAGTTCTTTCTTTTCTTCTTCAGTGTTTATTCTTCCACTTTTTCAGATTAATACCGAAGATATTTGGGTAAAAGGTGTGATCTCAAATGTCAATAGTGCAAAACTGCACGAATCCATCCATTCCCCTCTTTGGAAAGCAAACTCCCCGAGGGCAAGGTCTTTGCCGCATATTCCCAGCATTCTGAACCGTGCCTAACGCTCTCTAGCTCTCAACAAACACTTGGTTATCCGTCCGTTCATAATCATCGGTGCAGGGCGCGGGCCATCAAGGAAACCGGCCTGCAGCTTTTCCTTCCTGCGCCCAACCTGCGCAGCTCGCAGCCCCCCAGGGTCAGAGCTCGCACCCCCGGAAGAACCCTGGAGGCGCGGCCCACCTCTCGGCGGCCCTGCGGCCCTTCCCTTCCCTTGGAGGAAGGAGCGGTAGCCGAGGAGAAAGGGAAACCCGGGCCCACTTCCTGTGCGGGACAGGGCCGGGCTTTCCGCGAGCCCCTCGGCTGGAAACTGCCGATTCGCAACACAGGAGAAGGGAGTGGGGTGCGGGAGCCGGGCGAGGACCCAGCCGCGGGAACCGCCCCCACGGACGGGGCTCGAGAAGTTTGCACGGCGGCTCCAGAGCGCCGGGTGCGGGCCCCGCCGGCCGTGCGCGCCCGCTGCCATGGCTTTCCGCCGGAGGACGAAAAGTTACCCGCTCTTCAGTCAGGAGTTCGTTATCCACAACCATGCGGACATCGGCTTCTGCCTGGTGCTCTGCGTCCTCATCGGGCTTATGTTCGAGGTGAGCGACATCAGGGCGGGGAGCGTCCCTCTCGCGCGCCGCTCGGCGTCCCCCTACGGGTCCCCCGGGGTCTGCGTCTGCGCCCGGGCGCCGGGCCGCCGTGTCGGTCCCTCGCATTCCCCCGGCTTTGTGCACCGTGCGCCCCTCGGCCTCCTAGTCAGCCCAGACACCGCCGCCAGCTCCGCGTCTTGCCCGCCAGCCCTGCCGCCCCCTTGGGTACCCACTGGACCCTGCAGCTCTCTCTGCAGCCCCGACTCCCAACCCTGGCCTCGAACCGACGCGGCGCTGCCACCCTGGCCCGCCCAGCGGAGGTTCCTTTCTGGTGTCCAGGAGCCAAGCCCGGAGATTCGCAGACCCGCAGGCATTGCACAACTCCCCCTTCCTAGCCCTAGCTGCCAGCTCCTCTGGGCTTTTCCAGTGGGAGGAACCCCGGCCCATTCCCACTTCCCACCTGATTTTCGGGGTCTTTTGCATCCTCAACTCTGGGCCACAGTGGGGGTGTTTGGGGTTCGGCCCTCGCTCCATCCCAGCAGTGCCCTTTGCGGTCCTCCTGACACCACTCTTTTTTTTTTGCTCTTGCCCCAAAGGCCAGTTTTCATATACCCTGTGAACGTAACGTTCTGTGAACTGTTCCTTCACTCCATCTGTGGTGGATCTAGAGCTTCTCCCTTTGACAGGAGCAAGGTGAAGGCGGGGCATACCCTCTGCTTTTAGGAGAAAGGTGATTCTACCATAACTGTGGGGGTAGGGGACAGCTGGGGCAGGCCTCATAGAACACCGACTTAACTCCAATGGGGTCGGAATCCAAGGGGGCTGATGGGAAGACTCCCTGCTCCGAACAGCCAGAAAAATGTGATAGTCACAAGCAGGGAAAACTGGCAAACAGCAGAGGACTCGCCCTGGTCTGCCTTGTCCCAAGGTGAGTGCTGCTTCACCGGCAGCTTATCTGCATTTCAGGAATGGGCTGGGAAGCTGTAGCCATCTATCAGTTGCCTTGGATATGGAGGATTCCTGGTGTGGCTAATTTCCTCTTCCATGTCCCTCTGTATTTGGGTTCCCTATCTCCTCTCTGAGGATCACGAGGGCCCTGCTAGACAGGGAAGCTGCCCTCAATGTGGGGACATTCTTGTGGTGGCTGAGCCAGGGTTGGATGGGTGCACGTGTCCTTGGCTGGGCTTCAGGGTCCATCGGAAGTAACTGGAGGCGACTATTGGGGTCTGCAGGCCCGCTTTACTCTTCCCTCAACCCCCCACAACTCTCGCGGTATATCCGCGGCTAGGGCTTTGTCAGGCCAGGGTCATCTCCTGTGCTGCGTCTCTGCTTGGTCACTAATCTGATGAAAAAAAAAAAAAAGCTGCAGCCTCAGTTTCCCCATCAGTACAGATGAGTAAAAACCTGTCTTTCTCACGGGGGTTATTGTGAGGTTTAATTGAGATCGTGTGAGCAGCAAACGCAGTAACAGCCTCTACCAATATAAAAGCAAGTCGTTTGCGCCTGAACCTTTATTGTGGGCCATAAAAATAGCCTATGGGGTAGAGAATTTGTTTGCTCCAGCAGATGCCCTCAGTATCTCCTGGCTGTCCTTCATTCTGAGAGGCCTCCCAATGCCTTGTCACCAGTCTTGGAGGGTGTGGTTGGAGAGAAACACGTGACAGCTATAGCTCGCACAGCCACATGCTCGCTATCAGCCTGGGGGGGCCTCTGCTGTGTCTCTGGCCTTCTTTAAGGGTGGTGACTACCTACTCTGTCTTTGCTCCAAAAGAGCTGCCGAGCGTTTGAGCTCCGGGTACCTCCTTCCTTCGCCGCCTGTGGTCTGGTGGAAAGCCCTGTTGGTTAAACCTGGCCGCCTATGGGAGGGAGAAAGTGCCGGGAGTCCTTAATCCCCTACATAAAGAGGAGGAAGGAAGGCCCAGGGTGGGAAAAAACAGCGAAAAGACTGCCCTGCTCGCCTCCCCATCTTGGGATCGGACTGGGAAGTGTGGAAAGGGTCATGGCATGAAATGCCATCCCGCCACCCTCTTCCAGTAGAGCCTTAGTCCCCGTGGCATCCATGCCTTCAGGCAGGCTGTCTCCTGGGACACTGAGACACTGAGGTGTAATGTGGGTCAGTGTGGGCTGGCCTGGGAGGAGGAGGGCCGTGCCCCAGCCTCCCGTCTGAAGCACGTGTGTCCTGCTGTGCTAGACACACAGAAGGTCCTCATCATATTTACCAGCTGACGCTCCACGGAGATAGGTATTTGGGGAGACTCAGGTTTCTAGAGCTACCAAATGAGAGCGGAAACAACTCACTGTCTTCTGGGGACCTCCCAGAAACACACGTGGGCGTCCTCGCAGCTAGGGCAGACCATCAGGGGACTTACTGCTGTCACTCGGGGCCATTTGGGCCCTCCCCTGGAGGGGTGCTCTGCCTGTGTGTGTAGGTAGGGATGTGGGTCTGGGTGTGGGGGCGAGCCAGCACCTAACCACATTTTTCTTAAGAGTGAAGACGGAAGGAGATGGAAAGGGGACGGGGAGGCAGGGCGAAGGGACTGCCGGCTTTTGGGTTTCTAACTTGGGGCAGGGCTAGGATGCCTTCATTCAGAAGCTGAATTAGGGAAACTCAATTATAATTCTTCCCACAAAAAGCGAGTATCCCGGCCACTCCCTCCTCTGGGGTCCCCTGCCCAGCCTCGGCCAATGAGCTGAGGCCCTCTCCCCCCACCCTAGCAGCCACGGCCCTTGCATCCTAACTGGTCTCCACCTCTTCTTGTGCCTCGCCCCTTCCCCAACTCACTGGTCAGCTCTCCAGCATTCAGAAGGGCTTTCGTTCCCCAGCAGGGACCTCAGGACCTTACTTCTGTCCCCTGGGAGATGCTGACTCCAAGTTCCTTCCCTTGGGATCGCTTCCTTTGGGAACATGTGTGAAAGGGTTCCCCTCCCACCTCCATCTGGCTCAGTTTTGAACCTTCCTGAGATTCCTTCTCCCATTTTTGAGGCTGGGGTGGGGGAGACAGGCTCGTCCCCCCTGAGCCCAGGTTTTCTTTCCATCCTGCGGGCTGTTTGGAATAGAGCTGTTCTGTGCAGTCTCGGCACTCGGCTAAAAAATGTCAGGAATGCGGAGCTTTATTTCCCCCCCTCCTTCCCTTCCAGCTCTCTCTTTCTTGACTCTGCTGGGGAGAGATGGTGCAAGGGGGGGTTTCTGCTCCACACTCTGGGTCCTTCAGGACTGTCTTGGTGGAGTCCAGCCCCAGCGGCCTTCAGGGTGTGGGCAGCCAGTGGGGTGTGTGTCCGATTTGAAAGCCGCATTCCCTCCCCTTTCCCTTCCCTTTCCAGTGTCCTGTTCTTTCAGTGCCACGTTTCAGACCAAACTGGGCTGGGGAGGAGGGAGGAAAAGGCGCTCATTAGCAATCGGAGAATGAGAACAAGGGGTTGCACATCCAGCGGAGAGGAAGCCACTTATATATTACCTCTGAAGTCATTTCGAGACAGAAACTTTTGTTTGTTGCCCAAGCTCATTTGCAAGCGCTGCCGGTCTGCAGCATGGAAACGGTTCTGAAATTCTGGGCCCATCATGTGGAGGTTGGGTTTCTGTTTTGGTCCATGATGACTTTAAGAAATTCGGACTCAGAACTTCGAGGGCAGTGGCTGGCTTTTGCTTTCTAATTGTTTTGGAGACAGATGTAGTAGGGCCACCTTTCCCCCAGGAACCACGTTCTTCCTGGTTGCTGACTGGTTGCCACAGTCAGCTTGTCAGGATGATGTGTTTGCAGCGTATACAGTGGGAGCCGGTGGTGTTACAACCTGGCAGGACACGGGTCCCGTGGCACCGGTCCACATCCTGCCAGGCGTCCCTGTAGGCACCGCAGCCTGAAGTGAGGCTGCCGGTCCTGCCCCTTGGCATTCATGAGTGCCCTAAGACAGTTCTGCCTCCGTTCTGTTAAGACGAAGAGCTGTGTATACAGCACAGATGTTCATCCATGGGCATATGTCGCCTCTCTTTGACTAACTCCTAATGTGCTTTTGAAGACGTTCCTCTGCCAGCTTGTATAGTTCCTGACTTACGCGTCTTCCTCTCCTGCCTCTGACGTGGCCCATCAGTGGTGTTCTAAAGAAATGAGTCAGGGGAAGCCGAGAAGGGCTGTCTCTGGGGTGCCCTTGTTCTGTGATTGGATTTCTACCCACATTTCAGTGATCTGAACAATAGAACAGAGATTTGGAGCTGGTGTTCCTCCTGGCCCACCTTAAGTGTCAAACCCTCTCCTGTGGGATGTAAGGGTACCTCAGTGATTCCTACTTATTCCCTTGGCAAAAGTGTGACGGCCAGAAAGGCGGTGTTGATCAGTGAGTGAGTTTTTAACTCTCACCACAGGATAATGTATAAATGTCTCGCACTGGGCCTGGCGTGAAGGCACTCAATTGATGGTCTCAGCAACCACGCTAGTGGCTTCTGTTACTGGTATCCCAGTTGGGCATGTGAGCACACGTTCCGCCATCCCGCTGGCCCCGATTTCCATTTAGATATGACCTGTTTTTCCATGAGACCTTTCCCCTGAGTTCTCCCGTGCCAGCTGTCTGCCCCAAAGGGGACAGTCACAATACCCTAGGTGCCTCTTTCCCCAGAGAACATTAGTTCTCTGTCTCCCATCCATCTTATTGAAAGGTGGGCCAGGGGGTGCTAGAGGGTCTGAGATGTGTGGCTGTCAGCTGCCCTGCCAGCCCCATCCTTGCCACTTCCCTCTCGCCTGCTCTGTGTCTGCACCCTCAGCTACTGCTTCTCAGGAGCACTGTGCAGCCTGGTCACAACACAGTGCCTTAGTCCTGCCTGTTTGCAGAGTCCCATGTGTTGCTATGGAGAAAACTTCAGTCTGGCAGGCATGAGCTCCTTTTTTGATCCGCTTCATCGTGGGCAGGGGCCCCAGAAATCACTCTATGGCAGATGTATCCCCCATTCCCACCCTGATAAATGCCTAAGCTGAAGGGTTGATAAGAGGGGATTAGAGTTCCCAAACTACAGAAGTGCT